GGGGGTTTTAACGTCAAATTAATTTCCAAAAATACGACAAGCTAGTTAGAAGATAATGAATTAGAAGCCCACTACTTCTTGGCGAAAATATCATAGGCACCACTATCTTCCTTTTTCCTCCAAAAAAATTATTCATTTTTTTTACTTCATTAGGGCTTTTATGAGGTGTGGTTGACTGAGAGAGGAGAAATAGCCACTCACTGTTCACAGGAAAACGACTTAAGCGTTCGTACCTCGTAAGTAGCAATCCAGAATGATTTTACTTTGAACCACATAACTCATCATGAATGAAGTTAGAGGACTAAACGAAATACCCTGCACTGTTCCCAGTGTTTTTTAGAACATCTTAAACATCTTAAAAGATGATAAAGCAGACTGGGCTGTTACTCACTCCATGGTTATGTAGCTTTCAAAAGTTATCACTACAATCAAACTTCTTTTGAACATGAAATAAAACTCTTTTTTCAGAAACTGCGGATTGACATTGCAACCACGTGTGTACCGGATGTTAGATGCTGATCAGGTAGGCGTTAGCTGGAAGACAGTCTTTTAACACAGCATCCATATCCCCCTGTTATCAGGATAGTTTGTGTTCCTGTTTGCCTATTATCTCTCATATTATACCTTATCGTGTACAAACATCCAATGGCTTCATCAAATCACCAACCAACATTACGCAAAACTCAGTCTCAGCCCTCTGTAGTGAGGGTTATCTATCAATATACTTAAGTACTTATTTAGTAACGTTTCAAATTTTCTTTTCTGCAGGAAACAGACAGAGTAAACATTGGTGTGCAAACGTCAAGCAACACTCCTACGCAGGGAGATGATCTTCTCCCAGAGTGCCACTTGTTCATGGCACATTCACTTCCAGCTCCAGAAAGTCTGTAGATCTGTCGAATCGTGAGTTTTCGCGCCTACTAGAGGCTCAGAAACATTCAGCCGTTGACTTCTCTAAAGGCTGCATAATGCAGATTTGTAAGATGTAATTAGCCAAGTAATCAATAGACCTAATTGAGCTATCGAAGTGGTTTTGGACTGAGTATTTCAAGAAATCCGGATTAGCTTCAATAACCTCACGAATGGTTTTAAACAAACTCGCACCACTCTCTCTTAGGTAATCAGAAATAAAACGTAAGCCAATCCTAACGCGACAACCTTTACGGTCACTGGTTGTTTCAACCTCGTTCCCAGCCTCTCTCGTCTTCCCGTCCCCTGGAGCAAGAGAGGGGTGGGAAGATGAGAGACCCTGGGATGGGGTTGTGGTTGTTTACATGGTTCTGGTTCACTGACTCTTTATATTTTCATTAATATATTATTTCTGTTATACATGTTTACTCTGTATATCATTTTACTAAATAAAACCAAAACAAACCTGGTATAAAATAGCTGAAGATTCAGTCTGTAACATTAACAAGGGGCGCCCAGTGTTTGCGGTAGAACGTTTTAACAAATAAAACATTTTCATAGACAGCCCATCTACTTATGTAGTAAGTGATAAATAGCATTCATTCCTTCCATTACGTTGTTTCAGCGCCAAGTAGTTTCTGTCAGTTGACATGCTTCTCTCCTCCATTGATTAAGGGAGCCAACCCAAAGTAAAATAAACGGTCTCGCGTACGCTCAACAAAATGGAATTATTTGTGTTTTCACGACGGACCGGAAGAGTAAACAAAAGCCAATTAAAGAAAAGACCGAATATTAATTTAAACTAGGTTAGCACGTCCAGATAAAATTTAAGACGAGCAGAAGCACTCAACTCAGTCAACAGCTTAAATTCAATTCCCACACATCACACAGGGTTCTCTTACCAATTTAGTTCGAGAGGGATAAAAATAATGACAGACATGAGCATACAAACGGAAATGATGGCGCCCCTGATCAGGCCAGCCGCCACCACTTTAATTTGGCGCCATATTTTTGGTCAGCGACATTTTAGCTGAGCATGCCCTGATGCCGCCACAATTGAAATTATGAATGAAGAGCTTCTGTAGAGAGGCGTTACTGGAAATCGAAACCAGCCGCTTCTTCGAAGTGACAGTGCTTTTGGCACATTTAGATAACTCCCAAGAGTGCGGTAAGTTGCTACCCTTGTGACATTTTCTTCATATCATAAGGTCTTCCTTAATTTCACGTAGAGCAGAGAAAGAAAGCGTACATGTGGCTTCGTCGAAATTAGAACCACAAAAACCTCAATCGGCCACTCTCTTGTATTCACGTGGCTTTCTGAGTAAAACCCGGATACACACCAAGACCTAATTTGTTCCAAACTGTGTAGAAACACAATTGGAAGAAAACACCGGATGTTTTCCTACTGTACGAAATCCAAATGAAGGATCTCATATGGCCATGAAGTCTATTTACGGACAAGTTTTTCTTTTGCATGCTATCAAACTATACTATACTATTTCGGTTCTGTTATTACAATTTTTATCTTTTACGTTTCACCACCAATGTTTTTTTTATCTCTCAAGCTTTTCTGTTAGAAAAATCAGGACTTAAACAGCACCGAAAATTCAAGAAATAATAGCGCGTAAGTTCACAGCGTTTACATCATAATGCTAATCAGGGTTTTAAGGCCTTTTTCTCTGGTTATTTCGATTTTTCATTAATTAGGGTCAGGCAAGTGCCCTTCTTGCCCATCATGTCATTATGTAAGATTTTGTTTTTGAATTCTTAACCATTCTAAAGCGAGGATATCTCCCTGCCTCCACGCTGCTGGCAAGCATGAAGGAAGAGCTATCTATAAGCGAACACTGAGCAAAATCTATTGGTCCACATTGTCTGATCTCGTTTCATGATCAAGACCCAATTGAGAGAAGAAAGGGACAACTACTATAGATTATAACGACTGATGAAATGACTGATGAAATACTGATACACACCGTTTTGTATTCGATGTAGGATTAGGAAAGATGGACGCCCAGCAAGTGGAGATAGTCTATAGATCCCTATTTTTGCAAGGTGGAGTCACAAATGGATTAGACTTTGAGACAGAGGTGAATTCTGGTCTCCCTAATAAATGAGAAAATCACAATAAGTGTTATACTACTCTTATCAGGTAAAGGAAGAGCCTTCTTTATGGTCATGACCTGTTGAGTTTTATCAAGTCACACTTTAAGTATAATTACATCGCGATCAATGAAAGTGGGAAAATGAAGTTTTTAACGTCAAATTCATTTTTCAAGAAATTACGGCAAGCTAGTTAGAAGCAAGTGAATTAAAAGCCTTCTACTTCTTGGCGAAAATAACGTGGGCACCATTATCTTCCTTAGTCCTCCAAAAAAACTTTCATCCCTTTTTTTTTTACTTTATTAGGGCTTTTGTGAGATGTGGTTGACGGAGAGAGGAAACATAGCCACCCAATGTTCACAGCAAAACGACTTACGTACCCGTAACACGTAAGTAACAATCCAAACTGATTTTACTTTGAAACATGTAACTCATCATGAACGAGGTCAGAGGACTGAACGAAGTACCCTGCACTGTTCCTAGCGTTTTAGGATGATTAACCAGACTGGGCTGTTACTCACATAATGGTTATGTAACTCCGGCCCCGGCCGGACCAACATTCAAGGTCTTAAAATAAATGAGAAGAATTTGCTTTCTTTCTATAACATCAAGAAATGGTTAGATATTCTAGTCTTCTCGGATAGGGACGAATAAATGGAGGTCCCGTCTTCTGCAG